CTAGGAAACAAAGAAAACACAAACATTATTCCTGATGCCCTGGGCTGGTTTCCTGAGGGGGTAGGGGAGAGGGCACCAGCCTCACAGTGCAGCAGGTCAGACCCACTGATGGGAGAGTCACATAATTGAGGATATTAGGGAAATAATAATGAATAAAAGACATGTCTGGTTTCCTTTGCTGCTTCCTAGTTAATACATCAAATTCCATTTCACTTCCTGATCCCTTGTTATCTAACTGATGTTCAATAGAAACAAGTCTGGAGAATTTCTAATCTCCCCTAATACGATGGAAGGGATTTTGGTAGAATCCTGTGTTTACTCCAAAGTCTCAGCCTCCTAAGAGTTGGAGATAAGATTGTATTCGCTTAATCTCTACTTTCTCACACCTCAGCCTGGAAGCCCTCTTGTCTTTAGTTCATGTGGGCTCTGGAATGCAGACGTGTACTCTCATTTGCAAACTCCATTCCTAAATTCCCAGAAGAAATCCATTTTGGCCTTTTCATAGTTCTTTATTGAGAGTGATGAAAAAAAGAAAAAATAACAAAGGCACAGACTAGAGCCATCAGATCACAGGACACCGAGTGGGCCTTTCTTTGGGGGCAGTCCAAAGCTTCCACTGTCGAGTTCTCCTTTCATAGTAAGTCTAGGTGTTAGGCCATTTGACAGAAACTGACTGTCCTGAACAGTGGGCCTTGGGTAAGCCTTCCTCCTGGGAGTATATAGTTTGAGCTTTGGCTTCAACTTGTGAGAAAAAAAAAAGAGGGCCTTAAATTGATTTAATGAGCCAGGGAATGTGGAGCTGGGGGAAGATGGGAATTATTTGTGTCTATTAAAAATAGCAAATAAGTAACCTTCTAGCTAAATTCACCATCTCCTGATGCTTTTCCTCTTGGGAGCAATATATATGTCAAAAATCATTGAAGAGTTAACAACAAACAAAACAAACAAAAATCTCTTAGGACCTCTGAGTCTTACACATTAAATAATTTTACTCTGTACATCATACTAGAAATCCACAGAATTAGTGTGTGGAGGGGGTTCGACAGGAGTGGGGGCTGTGTGCCAGTAACTGAGGGTCTGGGCCCTGTACCTTAGTTTTTATGCTCAAAGCTGGAGTTCTACCACTTAAGAGTCATACTTCCAACTTTCTGCTTTTTGGTGGTTAATTAGAGATAAGAGTCTCACAGACTTTTCTGGCAAGGCTGGCTTGGAACTGATATCCTCACATCTCAGTCTTTTGCGTAGTTAGGTTAATAAGTGCAAGCCACTGGCACCAGGCCTGAATCAGTCTACTTTCTAAAGGAAATTTAAAACAAAATACTTGGGTAAGGCTGAAGGCAGAGACTTCTGTGTAGGACAAGGATCCCATATGATCCAAAGAATCATGTTACAGTCTAGAACTGAGTATAGTCCCACTGCATAGACAAGGGCGCTAGCAAAGCAGCAAAAGGAGCCCCTTCTACAGAGTCTATTTGTCTTCTGTGCATGACTCACATAGGGAGAAATGGGAATTGAAGAAAAAATGCCATGTTCTTCCTTCTCATCGCTGTTAAAATTCCAAACCAGATTAAGTTTTCCACTCTTTCTGCCCAGGAGCTCTTTTGGAAATATAGCTAACTACCATGATTACACACATCACAGAAGGTTTAGTCATAAATTAGTCATGATTTATATGCCTACGAAGGTGGATATATGAAAATATAAAGGAATATAAAAGCATAACCCACAGAGGTTATGTCGATGTGCACAAACTCACCCAGTTTTATTAATAGAATGTATGTGAACAGATACTTGGATAGGCTGCAAAAGTAGCTTGTAATAGTGAAATAACTGGTTCACACCAGCCAGCAAAGACCTAAAGGTGTTTTTTGACAGGTGCCCTTGGGACTTGTACGGTAGGGTGGACAATAAGCACCAACAGACCTGTGAAGAGACTGTTCAACCAACTGTTGCTTCCACTGGCTCCAAAATTCTACAGAAGTTTGCGACTCAGCCAGGACTAGTAGCTCATGCCTATAATTCTAGCTACCCAGGAGGCTGAGATCTGAAGATCCCAATTTGAAGCCAGACAGGGAAGACAAATCCAAAAGTCTCATCTGTAGTTAACCAGCAAAAAGCCAGAAGTGGAGATACGATTCAACTGGTAGTGCCAGCCTTGAGTAAAAAGCCAAGTGAGAGTAAATGGCCCTAAGTTCAAGCCTGTTATTAGTGCACACAAAGACACACAAATGGTTGTAACTTCACAAGTGGCGTCTTAAAAAAGACAACTAAAGACAACTTAAAAGACAACTAAAAACACCCCTTTGATACCATTCTCACCCACAAAGGGCAGTGGATTACCATCATTTGCATTCGGTTTTGGACTTGACATGTTAAGCATATCATCACTTGTTTTCTTTTTTAAAAAAGAAATCAAGTAGATAACTCAGTGGTGATGTGGATGGAAGGGTAAAAGTTATGAAATTTAAAATAAGCTTTCATCCTTCCCAAAGGATAGAAACTTGGAGCTGTATAGAATCCTTACAGAATGGCACATGTCAATTAATCTGAGGTACTGATTAATTTAGCTATTCCCACACCATGTGTACGTTCGCAAGATTATATAATATCAACTTTCTGTATTAACTAAAAAAAATCCTCTCAAGATCCTGGAATCTACTGAGATTATGTGATAACCTCCAATGACACCAATCACACCAATAATCATGTGATTATTTGCCATCCCTATATGTTTTGGTTCCCCAACCATAGAATTTTCTTGCATGGGACTTTAAAACTACAAAAATGGAAGAAATTAAATTATACATATAAAGGGCTGGTCTGGTTCTTGTTTAGGAATGTACCTCAATGATAGACTGCTTGTCTATATACTAGGTCTGTCTGTACTTTCATCCACAGAATTACCAAAGATAGCTAGCTAGCTAGCCAGCTAGCTAGATGCCAACATGGTGGCTTACACCTATAATCCCAGCTATTTAGAAGGTAGAGATTTGAAGGATTTCAGTTAGAGGCTAGTGATGGCAAAAAGTTATCTAGAGTCCATCTCAACAAACAAGCTAGGTGAGGTGGTTCATGCTTATAACTTCAGTGTTTCAGGAGTCATCTGTAGAAGGATTGTTATTCCAGGCTCATCCAGATAGAAAAACGCAAGAATTTATCTGAAAACAAAGTAAAAATAGCTGGAGGCCCTTTTGCCTTTTCGGTGCAAGTGTTAGAGTGCTTGTCTAGCAAACTCAAGGCCCTAAGTTCCAACCTTATTATTGCCTAAAATAAATAAATCCCATTCTGGGAATTAACTGCGTAGCTGGGCTTACAAAAATCATCATCTGTCTATATTTTGGGGGCAAATGTGACATTCAAATGATTACATTAATTATTCCAATGTTTTATGCATACTGAAGTAATATATGTAACCTTGTCTACTTGAACAAAACACTGCATTGTACTTGAATAATACTTCATATCTTCCAAAGTATTGTTATGTCTCTAATATCATGTGACTTGAAACAATGAAATGTGGTAGGTAGGTCATAATATAGTCTCCTTTTACTCAGGAGAAAACTGAATTCTGTTAACATTTATATTCTCTCAAGTCCCATAGTTCATGTAAAGGAATGGGACTTATACTCAGCATACTCAGCTTGCAATAGCAACCTTCCCTCAGCACACCTTGATGGCTCCCATAACTAAGTTATTATTGATTTTTTTTAATGCTAACATAAATTCATGGTCCATTTCTTTTGATCTTCACTCTGCTCCATGGATTTTGTGTAAAGTAGCAAGCTACCAAAGTACTGTTAGCATGAAAAAAGATCACTCACTCAGCTATGTGAAATTCTATTTTCTTCCTTACCAAAAAAAAAAAAGCAAACAAACCCCAAAACCTTCCCAAACAACACATCAATTAGATTCTGAAAATAAGATGGCAAAACAGCAGTAAAATTGTGGAAACAAAGACCCAACAGTCTTTCCTCTAGTGCAGGCTTGTTGCCATGAGTGAATAGTTCCAGACTTTGAGTGAGCCGAGCCTCCTCTGTAATAACCATACGCCTCAAGGTAAAGAATTTCTACTAAAAATTATTGAGGCATGGAACAAGGTATGATGTGTGAGCTCATGTTGGATTGTTCAATTACTAAACTGAGTCCTGCCACATTAAGAGTTTTCCAACTTGACAGATTATTCCTCTTTATACACTTGTATAAACATACTGCTTATGACTGAAATCTATGTAAGCTTTTCTTTCAATTAAAATGTCAAGGATGACAGACTGTGCTTTAACTGTCCTTAGCAGAATGATAGGTACTGAAGCAAGCGATTTCATGTCCTCATTTTCCCCCCACAAGGATGTTTTCCAGTCGGGGGTGTCTGAAAAGTTAGAGCTGCATCTGCCAGTCTTCTTCCCCCTAGGGCAAGCAAAGGGCCAGTGTGTGGGTTCTGACAGTCTGAAGGGGGTGGAGACGCTGTAGATTTCTCTCCTTTCTAATCTTTGAAAGAGCCCTGGAAGCCCAGGATTGCTTGCTAGATTACCAGAGCAGCTAGATCTGCCAGCCATGTGGTCAGACAATGGGAAGAGGGCATACAGGCAAAAGCATTAGCTGAGAAAGTTGGAAGACCAATGTTAGCATGAACAGTAGGCTTCAGGCACCAAAGCAATTTCAAGAAGATAAAGAAACAATAACCTAGGGATTTGATGAAAGGCAGAATTTTGTAAAGAAGAACTGGAGCAAGGCAATGGAAAGAATTCTGTGCAGGAAGGAGATTCTGGTTCCATGATGGAAAGGACTCTGAGCCTTGGGGCCTAAGAACACATGGCATGTAAGCCATCTCAGGATCTCAGGATCCTTGAAACTTTAAAAGTCATATTCTAGGACAAGACATAGGATAATGTGAGCTATTTTTAGTCTATGCTACAATATCCTTGATGACAAGTTTATTATTCGCCCTCATTCCTGTGTGCACTTCATTAGTGGCTAGCATCTAAACTCAATGACATTGGGCC